TTGCGATCGCGGCTCTCTTCCTCAGGGAGTCGATCGGTGCACTGCCTGAAGGGGGCGACGCAGCCTCGCAAAGGCCAAAACCCAGCTGAACAGCCGTGGACTCAAAATAAGCCTTCTCGACTGATGTGGCTAAAATCCAAAATTGTTCCAGCATGAGTTCATTTCCTTGGAACGCCTCGACGATCGACCCCTCGCGCGATCGCGCCATCCGCAACGCGCCCTCAACGAAATCGGTGCACGAGCGCGCTTCCATCGCGGCGACGAACGCGAGGCTGCCCAAAGGCGATCGTTTGACTGCCTGGGCAAAGCGGGCATCGAAGACTGGTAGGTCCAGGATCCGACATACCCAACGATCGGGTGGTTGGGACATCACTGAAAAGGATCTCGAACCGAAAACTCGATCGAAGTTCTTGAAAAGCACGACCGTTGTGGTGGTTCGGGGTTCGCCCCCTCATTGAACACACTCGATTTCGTGCGTGAACCTCAACCTGACACCAAAAACATGAAAAAGCAAATTAATCAGAAGAAAGGACCTATGAGCTGAACAGCCACAAGAAACTAAGTTACTAGGAGCTACAACATGCCAATGAGCGGTCGGCTCCTCTTACCTGAACAGGCTAATGAGTGCCAACACAGACTCTGGCTAGCGAGCCCCTGAGACCCCGGAGCCCAGCCCACTGAGTATCTTGCCTCACAAGCGTGCGCTTCCGGGCGGAACCCAGCGGCCGAACGGCGTGCTCGATGCAAGTGATCAACTGCATAAGCCGCACAAAATTGAGAAAAAGGCAAGAAAAAGGAGCTCATCAACACGACCGACATTGTTTGAGTTCAGATACCTCGCACAAGCGCGGTTTCTTCCTCATACCGGCTGGTTGACGAACCTGCCAATTGAACAACCCAGCCAGAAAAAGAGGTCACACCTCGGTAACACTCTCTGGCTGCGCAGGCTTGAAAGATTTTGGCTCCCCAGGACGATCGCCCTTGTCGTCAGGGATTTCATCGATCCTGACTTGGGAGGTCTGATGAGATCGAAAAGAGCGAGGCCTCTCCACTGCTCGAGCTGACTCTACGAATGCTTGAGGCGTCATGGCCGAGTAGTCGAGCGCATCTGCACGTCTCTGCTCAAGCGAGCGCCTTGATGGGGCCAAAGACCCACCCATCCATGAACCAGCAGCAGGAGCCTGGCCAGGCGCGGTCACCGATGGGACTGCTGAGCTCACAGGCGTCGGAACAGCCGCAGCGCCCGCTGAAGACGAAGGTCCTTGAAGTGCCGGAGCCAGCTTAGGAGCCACTTCCATAGATCGTACTGCAGGGCCGTCCACGAGCGGTGGCATCACTGTTGCTAGGACCTCATCGAGTGGATCATGGCTTTGGAGTGCGAGAGCCTCCGACTTCACAATGACCCTGTTCTTCTTGAAGAAAGGACTCTCACTGACCAAATGCACGTTCATGGCATTGGACTCCACTGCGATCGCAGAAATGCGAGGACCTGTCTCCTCTTCTGCTGTGGCTTCTGTCTTCGCAGTCCAATGAGCATGTACTGCTGCAAGTTGAGCAAGTTGAAGAGCCTGATCAGGACATTCGACACGGGCACCATGATCACGCCCCCAGTTTGCGCTCCTGATAAGGGTCGGTCCTGACACTCTGCTGAAAGCAAGCCACGAAGGTGGAATTGATGCCGAGCTGACTGAAACATCGATGCGATCGCTGGCCGAGACGAATCTCATTTCCAGTCTGTCTGCATCGGCTCCGAAAGAGTCAGGTGACGAAGTCGCTACGAAACGGCATTCGAAGTGGCATAGTGGAAAATCCAATGCCACGACCACGCCTCCCTCGGAACAGGCGTACAGGCGACCGCCAACTTCGAATGAGCAAGCGATCACCCTCCATCCCTGGAAGACTGTCACGACCACCGATGGGATGAACACCGTTTCCGAGAGGATCGTGTGGATTGCGTCAGCGACGTGCCACAGCTGAATCGCCATATCACGGTCTGAGCGATAGCCACGAAGTTCTAAATGAACAAGTAAATGACCTTCTAATTTGATCTTCACATCAACCCAGGTCGGGCTTGACTCGGTCATAGGTGGCCACCTGAATGGCTGAAAAGCCGCATGACTCAACACTTCGCCTGTCAAGGCATCCCAACGAGCGCAGGGCACACTGGAATAGCAGGTGGCGGATCCGCACAAAGTCACTTTGACACCGTCCAAGGTGCGCACCATGAAGATGGTGAAGTGATAACCTGTGGAGGGCGTCCTCACCGACGAACGGTCTGACTTGACGTTGACATACGACAAGGCATTCGTCAGAACTTCGTCAATCAACCAACCCTGAAAAGGGCTTTGAACCCTGTTGTCACGATTGTCAAGGATCAAGATGGAGCGCTCGCCCTCGTTTGACCCAATCTGTGAAAGGTGCCCTGGTAGTTGGCTGTTGAGCGGATTCTGTGCCAGATCTGCAGGAGTCATCTGACCCCAACGAAATGCTCTGCGACCACGGCGAGCTGCCGCTTCCTGCTGCCTCCTCAACCTGCGAGATGCAGGAAACTCATGAGCATGGTCGATGATGCTCTGAGCCGCTTGTACTGCCGGAGCTGTCGCCTGAGGAGGTTGGGGTATAGTGCTCGATTGAGGTAGAGGAGGAGGTGGTGGAATCTTCACTGTCTGACCACTCCTTTGACCTTCTGCCTGATCATCTGGCCGATTGGCCTCTTCTGGAACACCTTCAAGCTTCTGAGAAGCAGATGCCGAGCCAGGTTCTTCGCCGAGGTTGGTCCAAGAGCCAACAGAACTCGAGTCGTCCCACCGAGCGGATGCATTGTACATTTGCCGCTGAAGAGCTGCAGGCGGGGGCTTGGCCTTCGGCTTCTGAACAGCTGGCATCGATTTCGAAGGTGTCTGATCAGACATGGCTCTTTCGCGATCCCAGGCCCTCTAAGGGAAAATGATCTTTCCTGGGCGATCGCATTCTTTCGCCAAAATGGCGGCGACGAATGTCGATGCGAATGAGATAAAAACAAACCGAATGGTTTCAAAAGAACTTGACGGACAAGCTGAACAGTATTCTCTACAAGTGACCCAGGTGTCCCAGACCTACCTAGCCGTTAACACCTGACCGAAAGGACCGGAGCAACAAAGAGTTGATTCCCAATTCTCTGATGTTGGAGATGGGCAAACGAGGACACTTACAATTCCCAACACCGTGTTTGGACCCTAAAAAGTTCCATGTTGTAGGCGTTGTAGGCCACAGTGTAGAAGCAGCGTCCCTGCTCTTAACTCAGCCAATCCAGTGAACTGCTTCGGAATTTTGAGAATCTCTAGCATGCCCCAGCCTCTCAAGGCAATCAAAGCTTCTTGTAGGCCATGTAAATTGGCCAGCACCAAGTATATAGTTCGGAATATCTGAACTTTCAACCGGGTATACCTTTGTCTTAACATTGGGAGGCCCAAAAATCCATGAAAGGATACAGTAGCAAATCAGAACTCATTGGTTGGGAGCTCCGTTCAGTTGGAAGGATACCAGACCAATCATTCATAATCATTCCCAAACATTAAATACTTGGTTTTGATGGTTCAAAACGCATATAGATCCAAGATATTCCAAGATGGTCCAAGGTGTCTTCACATGTCCTACCCGTACCCATATTCATATGGGTGTGTAATAGAATGGGGAGACCTGCGAAAACCTTTAGGAAGGGCAAAAATAGATTAACCCGCATGGAAATATAATGAGGGCATCCTATTGACATTCCAATCAGCTCCCTTTCAGATGTGGAAATGAGTCCTCCACGTTGTCTGCGAAGCTGTACTTTGGGTGCCGTCGTCGGATGGCGTCTTCTTGAGGGCTGTACTCGGCTGCTCCTGGGCAGAAGAAAACCGACACGAATGAAGCGACCTTGGAATGTTAAAATGTTCTTTATAGAATTGATATGACTTGTGTGCAATTTGGATCCTGTGAAGGGGGCCCCAGCTCCTCAATATGTTGGGTGGTTCGTCCGCTGCAACTTTGGAGCAGTCATTGGCCCAGGTCGTGTAAGTGAGTTCTTTGAAATTCATTGCTGGCGTCAGACCTCCGCCACTCCTTTTCCCGAGGACCCTCGACTTGACTTCCTTCGGACAGGAATCATGTCTACTTACAAGTGGTTTATTGACCTCTTTTTGCTTTGCTTCCTCCTGGAAAGTGGAAGAAAAGTGGACATTCAAACTTCAAACTGCTGCTCAACAAATATGGATCAAACCGTTCATATTTACTGTATATATGTATATATTCTTGTAATAAGTTTATATATTTATATATATATATTAAAGATATATAAAGACTGTTCATGCAATCAGACTTGCGCTGTACATTGTAGACATGCGTACACTTTGGTCGCTGAATGCAAAACACTTTTATCGCTGAACAAAATGAACAAATATCTCCGGAACAAGTCCCCTGTATGGCCAAAGGATGTCAGGTTCCAACCACAGGTATGTGCCCAATGTATCCATTATCATTCTATATACTATATTATACTTCAAAGGATGAACAACGAACTCCTCTTCCCGAACACCCAGGCCTGGCGATTCCATGCCCAGCATGAGGTTGGGATTGGTGACCTGGAAGAGAGATATGCATCCCAAGCTCCTCTTCCTGGGGCAACCTGCGTCAATCAATCCTCATTTGATTCCCTTGCACCAAGAGGTTTGACTAGATTGACTAAGTCAACTCTTGAGGTGATTGAACCAACCCTCCACACTCACTTTGGCCACCAAACTCCAAGTCAGGCACTTGGACCACAAAGGGGTTTGCAGCTCTATCACCTGTTGAGCTGCCAAAACCATTTAAGCTGCAAAGACAACATGAAGAGCATAAGGGAGCAAGGAAGGAGGAGGGTCAGTGTGCTGCTGCACTTGGGCAGCAGGCTGGCCAACCCTTATAGCTTGCCACTGGAGCAAAACGATCATTGGCCAAACAGCTTGACCGCAGAACCAAACGGGAGAAAGCGCATCCAACCGTCACAGATCCACCAACGGCTCTGAAACAGCAACCCGGTGGTCGGGGCTCCGCACCAGGATCTCCGCATTCTGGATGCCCATCCGCATCTCTGACCCTCAGTGGGGCATCGGCTGGAGATTCCGAATGATGTCAAAGCAGAAACCGCGTTTGGATCCGATCGTTCATTGGTGACAGGTCAGGGAATCGGATTGATTGTATTCAATGATGCGACATGTTCAGAACCGGGAGGAGATGATGCAAAGGCACTGGGAGGTTTGACTGGCAAGACTATATGGCTGGATCGTGGCCTCAGACCAAGCAAGCTAGAAAAAAGGTCAAATTGACTGTGAAAGGACTGTTCAGTATCCGGCATTGGCTTTCCTGAATTTAGTCTGTCGATAAATTGTGCCTGCTGCTCCCCAACTTTGGCCAGCCTCTTTTAAACATTGAAGGAATGATAAATCAAGCACATGCTAATCTTGGCACAAATGAGATATCCTGACCCTAGGAAGCGCGATGGCATGGTTTGCGAATGTTCCAGGATATTCTGGCTACACTGGGCAACTGCCATTTCTGCGCCTCAAATATGGTTTTATAATGAATGGTTGTTTGCGCAACAAGTGTCACAGGAATTGGGCACTCAACCAACATCATGCTTCCATTTTGCTGTTCCATCATGGACGAACCCCATCATGGTCCGTCCATTTGCAGCAAGTGGCCAAAACAGGCGTGTGCCGATCCGGCAAACTTCACCTGGCCAGGCATTGGACCTCCATGAGGGAAAATCCAGAAACGTCAACACTAAGACCTGAACTTGCTGAATGAGAAGCCTTTTTGGATCTTTTTGCTCTTGGCGACATAATTAGGCTTGGCTTGGCTTCCATATATGTGTCATCAGGTCCAGGGCCAGTGAATGAGGGTGAACGAGTCTATTGTGGTGCTTTTCTTCTTCTACAATGCTTGTCACCTGAGAAACTGATTGACACTATCCTGGTCGATAGTAGCTCTCATGAGTGCACAACATTATTTGGATTGTAGTGGCATAGCCTAGCTAGTCGTTGATTGCCTCGAAGAAGGGAAGAGTTTAAACATTTTTGAAGTACTTCATGCAAAGATTTTGGACCAAGGATGAAGTGCCTCTTCGGTCCGGATCCGCCCTGATGAGAGTCGACTTATCAAAGCTTCCAGTGTAAGAACGGGATCCAACAAACTCAACAACAATATCAATCCTGGAGCCTGGGTGCCTTTTCGGTAGATCTCTTCACACTGTATTACAGTACAATCTTATATCTACTGCTAAGGCAATTACTTGCCCCACGTTCGCAGCTTCACGAATCAGTCCGTCCGCGGCACCTTCTGGCTATCCACGGTGGCACAGGTCAAGTCCACCGAGGAGTCTGGATAGTACGGCCCCCCCAGGGGTGGGCGTTGCTCCTCCTGGGGGAAGGCAAAGGCGGGACCACGGCCCATGTGCTTCGGCACGTCATAGTGAGGGCCTCTCGGGCATGGATTTCGAGAGCTGTGCACAATCGGTGAACTGAGGAGTTTAACTGCTACGTATGGTGAATGGGGGCAATTGAAACAATTAGTCACTTGCAACTCCGTGAGGGAAGGAGTGGGGCTCAAGTTGTTGGGCAGAACTAGCGTCCAAATGTGTCCAAGGCAAGGCGTCTGAATGAGCCTTGTTAAACGCAATCAACAAACAGCATCGACCAGGAGAAAGCAGAATGGCAAAGCTTGCGACTCATGCACCGCAACCTTGCGACTTGGGCTGGCTGGAAGTCGCACCATGCAATACTGGTGCCTTTGCATAATTGTTCAAACAAAGCGGGCTCTTGGCCATCCAAATTCAAACACATCTGATTCATGACGTGAAAGAAAACTCCCCCGGCAAACTGCTTGTTGCGTGACACCTGGACCAAGCCGCTTTACATCCCACTTTAACCCTGCCTGCTGCTCACCCAATCGACATCCCTCTGATCCCTCATCCTTCTCAGGTGCGTCTCTCCCTTTGTGAGGCAGAACCAAGGAAGACCCAGGTGCTCTGGCCGCCACTGGCCTGGTGCCGTCCTCCCTTGTTGAATGCGTTGCGTGAGCTTTCGAGAAAGGAACACCTGCATTGAAGGTCGACGGGAACGTCGCAATGGGCAGTCCGGAAGTAGGGATTTCTCTCAAGGTTTCTGTGGAAGAAACGTGATCTATCAACAAACTCTGCTTCCAAACTTGATAAATGATATCAATGATATCTGTCATCCACAAAAACATATTTCTACAGGGATCGATCCTCGTCCAAAGGAACATTCAAGAACATTGACATTCCACTTCGGTCCTCTATGTTTCAATCGGGAGAAACACGTTTCTCTGCCCCAGTAAGTCAGGAAGTCCTATTTAGCCAGTACGACATGGGCAAAGCATCTTCCAGACTTACTGTCATGTGAAAATCGCAATTCACAGCAGATTCACTAGATTTGTGGTTCTTTGGGCTGACGGTACTTGACAAGAGCGACTCCTGCGTAGTAGGTTCATCCATGTTCATCCCGCGGGTATGGTGCTTTCTTTTCAGCACTGGTGAGAAGTGGCAGGCTCCTAGCGGCAAAGGTGTTGCGTTTACAGTGGGCGAGGTGGCGGTTGGGTCAGGGCGGAACAATTCTGAGCTCCCGGGTTGCTGATTGGTCACCTAGTCCCTCCTCATTACGCACGCTTGTGAGAACAGCATGATCAACTGCAGTTCGCTCATCAAAGAGAGATGCCCTGGTGGCCGTGGCTCGGAAGTAAAGGGCTGGGATACAGCATATACCAGCATCTATAGTTGAGCTTATCAACCGGTAAATTTGTTCATTTTATACTCGTACTGTTGTTGCCTCCATGCTCCAGGTACATCCCACCTGTCATTCACGAACCAACATGGCCCAGCCTTCATGGCTTGAACCTCTCGATAGCCTTGTCCGGTATAGCCCTCGGTGCCAATTGAATAGGCGGGGCATGTCTCCTGTGGCAGGTGCTGCAAAAACGAGGCTATGTTGCCGTCGTCATACTGCAATATGCTGACGCGAAGGCATTCTGCCATTGCGCAAATACAGCAACCAAACACCAACCTACAAACAAACATATGGCAAAAGGCTAGTTGATACTGCTATGCCGAAGAGTGCCACAAATTGACGCCTTTTTCGAGTCAGCTTGTCGACCAATCGCTGAGAGCACAAAGGAGTTCTTCCTTGGCGAGTGTTAAGAGGTCGGTTGAGGAGCCCAGGGTGCAGATTTGTTTTGCTGCAATCGTAGGTTCTGGAATCAATGAGGTCTAGGAAGTGATGTAATCTTCCTCATGGAAGCTCTCAAATATGGGGTCATGAATTCCTGGGGCACAGGGCTCCAAGTCTGTCATGCCCAGCAACACCTGATGCGACAAATGTCCCCTGGGCTGTGTCACTCTCTTGATAAATCACGAACGACATCTGCCATCTAGCTATAGCAATGGCATATGGGGGTTGTTCAAAAGTCCTTTCATTTTTTCCAGGCCTTTCGCAGGACCTTCGCGAAGCTTTCGCAAGCTTTCGCGCGTGGGGTTTTACCACTGTCGGCGAAAATGGTTTTTCGTTGGGGCTAGAGGCTTTCAAGGGTTCATGCAGTTGCCCTGGCACGTCTTGTGTCCTCTGATCACTGACACATTGATTGCTGAGGAACAGGAAGCCAGCCAACCAAGCAGTTTTCATGTTGGTGTGTTTTTGGTTGGGCACAACCCTCCATGAACAAGAGACGGCTCAGTCAGGCCAGTTTGCTCAGACTTCCAATTTATGGTTCAGACTTCGAATTTGCTTTTTCCCAAACCGGGAAAAAGCAAAATGGTTCAGACTTCCGGGAAAAAGCAAAACGGCCAGACTTCCAATTTGCTTTTTCCCGGGCCGGGAAAAAGCAAAATGGGCCAGGAAAAAGCAAAATGGTTCAGACTTCCAATTTGCTTTTTCCCGGCCCGGGAAAAAGCAAAATGTATCAGACTTGCAGTTTGGAATCCGGCCTGGAAACGAGCAGCGCCTGTGGGATTCGAGCTTACGACCTTCTGCTTACGAGCCTGGCGCTTTATTCTTTAGGCCACAGGTCTCTGACAAACATGCTTTTTTCCAGGCTTTACAAAAGAAAATTGGATGCCCAATTTGCTTTTCCGGCTCAAACTTCCAATTTGCTTTTTCCCGGGAGTTACGACCGTGTTGTATGCGCACTTACAGCCGCAGAACCAACCACCTCACCTCACATACCTGCACTTGTGGGCATGCTATGAGTGCATCTGCAGCTGGAGTGTCCAGCGCGTGCTTCCAGCAAGAAGAGTGGAGTGGGGTGGGGTTTGGCCCTGTCGTCTTTCGCGTCCACAATGCGAACCTTTCGCCATACTTGCGCAGTTTCCCACGACAAAGAATTTTCCAAGGGTCGGGAAAAAGCAATTGGAAATGTATTAGACTTCCAATTTGCTTTTTCCCGGGCCGGCAAAAAGCAAAATGGTTCAGACTTCCAATTTGCTTTTTCCCGGGCCTGGAAAAGCAAAAAGCTCAGACTTCCAATTTGCTTTTTCCCGGGCCGGGAAAAAGCAAAAGGCTCAGACTTCCAATTTGCTTTTTCCCGGGCCGGGAAAAAGCAAAATGGTTCAGACTTCCAATTTGCTTTTTCCCGGGCCGGGAAAAAGCAAAATGGTCCAGACTTCCAATTTGCTTTTTCCCGGGCCGGGACAAAGCAAAATGGTTCAGACTTCCAATTTGCTTTTTCCCGGGCCGGGAAAAAGCAAAATGGTTCACAATTTGCTTTTTTCCGGGCCGGGAAAAAGCAAAATGGTT